ACCCTATGCGGGACAGTGCCGCGAAGCGTCTCTTGGTACCGAAGTCGGTAAAGGACTCTTTGGCCTGGTGGACGAGGCGCGAACACGTCTGCAAGGGCCTTCCTTTTCATCCAGACCCCCCGACCGTCACAATCACGACGGATGCGTCGATGTTCGCATGGGGATGCCATACAGGAGATCTCTCGGTTCACGACCTGTGGTCTCCGCAAGAAAGACAGTGCCACATAAACTACCTAGAACTGTTGGCGATATTCAAGGCCCTGAAGTCCTTTGCCCTCCTGATTGCCGGAAAGTCTGTCCAGATTCTAACGGACAACACAGTAGCTATGTTCTACGTGAACAAGCAGGGCGGCACGGGATCAAGGAAACTCCTCGCGCTCTCGATGGAGCTGTGGAATTGGTGCGTGGCCCGCTCGGTATCGATATCGGCGATACACCTCCCGGGAGAGATCAACGTAGAGGCCGACGCGCTCAGCAGAACCAGGGCGACATCCCACGAGTGGAGGTTGAACCCCGAGGTCTTGTCGGAGATCTTCGAGGATTGGGGTCTTCCCGTCGCAGATCTCTTCGCGTCGCCACAAAACGCCCAGCTGCCTCAGTTCGGTGCCCGACTTGCTCCGAACACGGTGCCGGGATGCCTCGGAGACGCGTTCCTGTTGGACTGGTCGAGGCACCTGCTCTACCTCTTCCCACCGTTCCCGCTCCTCCCGAAGGTGATCGAGCGAATCCAGTCGGCGCAGACGGACTGCATCCTCGTGGCACCGGAATGGCCTCGACAGCCGTGGTTCCCGGTCTTGCTCCAGCTGTCGCAGGGGCTGATGAGGCGCCTTCCGCTTCGGCAGGACCTGCTCTCCAGGGAAGACGGCCAGCTTCTTCACCCCGACCTAGCTTCTCTGCATCTTTCGGCGTGGAGGATCCGGTGCTGAGGTCGCTGTGTCCAGGGGTCCTCCCGATCTTGGAGGCGGCGCACAAGCCGGCCACCAAGAAGTGCTACTCTGCCTGCCTTAACCGTTTCCAGGCCTTCCTCCTGGAAAGAGGCCTGACCGACGACCGACCGTCGATACCGACGATCCTGTCTTTCCTGCTTCACCTCACAGAACGAGGTCTGTCCTTGTCTTCGCTTAAGTCACACTTGGCTGCCATATCGTGGCAGCTCCAGAGGACAGGGGAAGCCTCCCTGTTCAAGGACAGCTCAGTTAAATCCTTTTTGAAGGGTTTCAACAATTTGTATCCCCCGGTTCGATCTCCGACTCCGGGGTGGGACCTTGACCTTGTACTGACTAGGCTCGGGCTGCCGCCTTTCGAGCCCCTAATTTCTGCGGACCTGCGATTGTTGACTTGGAAGGTAGCCTTTCTGGTTGCCATTACTTCAGCCCGCCGGCCGTCGGAGTTGGCGGCCCTGCGGGTGGACGAACCCTATTTTATCGTCCACGAGGACAGAGTAGTTCTCCGCACAGATGTGACATTCCTCCCTAAGGTCGTGTCCCCTTTCCATGTTAATGAGGACATTGTT